TGTTGGCAGGGTTTTTACGGCCGGATGCCCTTCCTGACGCCAACCATCCCCTAATTTAGCAGTGTAAGACTAGAGGGAAGGCAGCTAGTCATCACCACTCACTGCCAACTCTTGGGCTACTCTTTTACCAACGAATAGTGGGATTGACTGTCACATTATAACGCCCCCACGGCTAAAAGGGCAAAAACACTGCTCATGCACTAATATTAATAAAATAATACTTTCAACAGTATGAAATGTCTGACTGCCTGCACTCAGATATTTAGCATAGTTCAAGATTTAACAGCACATGAATAAATATAAACTGAAATCATTGTAAAATGTTATATAATTTATGTTTTTCAGATTTTTGCACTATTATAAAAAAAACATGTACAAATTATATTGAATAATTAAATATGAGCAATTACAGATGAAAATCAACCAGATGTCACTATCAGTATAAATTGCTTTTCAAACTGACATATGATGAGAGGGTCTGTGAAAAGTCAGACAAGATGTATGGTCTAAGAATCACCTTACTGTCCTTCACAGTAATATGCTACATTGGAATTTACGCAGTTGAAAAATATGGGGTAATTGAAGTCATTAGATTGAGTGTAACTGTTAATGGTGAAAGTATTTCCTTGGGCAGCATAAAACTGAAACATCTCATATAATACATCTTACCCTTGGTATTAATGTTTTGAAAAAGAATAACATATACAGTTGAAAAATATGGGGTAATTGAAGTCATTAGATTGAGTGTAACTGTTAATGGTGAAAGAATTTCTTTGGCCAGCATAAAACTGAAACATCTCATATAATACATCTTACCCTTAGTACTAATGTTTTGAAAAAGAATAACATATACACCTGTTGCAAACCTGAAAAATGATGAGAGTACAAGTAAAAGATATTTGTTAGAAGACATCTAACATAATGGATGTGACAGGTTAAATAATAAACAGGAATATTCGGTTTGTCTAGAGAGCAAGGCAGATGAGTTACTATAAAGAAATATTATACCTTTAAAGACTGTATATATATATAGAAAAAATTTTAACACTTGCCACACTAATCAGCCCAACATCGTTTATTACTGAGTCTAGCCTAGAATGGTCAACAGGAGTGGGTGGGGGCCATCCCAAAATGAGTGATTTAGGGTGATTTCAATAGATCTCGATGAATGAAGCTCAGCACAACTTTTAAAACAACAAAAAAATATTAATGAAAATATGATATCATAAAATCTATATAGATTATACTACGGTGGTACCATACTGGGCATTATACCATCCTTCTTATATTTACTCTTCATTGCAAAAATGGTATTTTTAATTTGAGAATTGCTAGGGACATCATTTTGTAATACATCGTGCATCTGCTTCAACTTCAACTCTATGTCTTTGGGCCTTATGGTGCCATTAGTTTCAGAAAATGTTGAAACTAATGGCTTCTTATATATCATTCCAATCCCCCCTTTTGAAGATAAAATTATTGTGCCTGTTTTTATGTTTCACTATCACTGCAGCAATCAAATGATGCATCTTCGATTCAACTGGTATATCAGATCTTTGGCAGTTGTTAAAGTAATGGATGGCTAAAGGAAAGCTATAAGAAATTTTGTACCTTTATGAAATATTGAATTTTTACAGTTTTCCACGTAATGAAAAATTAACTGCCACCAACCAACATAAAAATAGCATATTATTATCTCCCCCTCTTTGGTTGAGTAAAAAGATTAAGCAGTTCTCACCTGGCTATAATCTGCTAGTTCAAAGTATGCTCGACCTAGAGTCGCCAATACCCATCCCGTGTTATAGTGATGAGGGGGGAGAGCACTAAGAATTTCTATAGCTTTTTTACAACAATAATGTCCAATGTAAAGCCTTGCCCATCCCATGTCTTGGAGAAGCTGCATTAGTCCTTCTGTAAGAGATGAGAAATTTTATTTAGTAAAGTTTCCACAACCATGAGTCAAGATATTTAGTTGAATACTAAATAAAATGGAAACAATATTTAATAATCGAACTCATTATTCTGATATAAGTATATGAATATAAACAAAAGAACTATTACTGCAAGTATTTGTTATCTATATGTTAAGAATTTTCATTCCAATTCTAGGAACATCTTTCATCTACTAATGACATCTATTCAACTTTACATTAAAAAGTTATAATTTCACTCTTACACAGCTACTGCAGAATTTGTAATAAATTACAATATTCTGTTTACAAAGTAAACCTTTTCATTTTAAGATGAATATAATGACTTTCAAAAACATGATTCATTAACATATGTGGAAAAACTTAATAGTACATATCATAAAATAATGCTAAAATTTCCAAACAATGTTACCTACATGTGACTATCAGATAGATGCTAAGATATTATTGGTGGAAACTTCAGATCATTTATATAACCTATCTTAACAACACACTAGACATAATGTCTCAAACTGAAGCACAGCAGAGAGAGCTTGCTTTTATATACACAACCTCTTGACATTTGTGGATGAGTTTAAGCATGATCTGCAGAGAACTTCAAATGTTTTACATAACCTACTTTAACACCAGGCTGAACACAATGTCTCAAACTGAAACACAGCAGAGAGGGCTCACCTTTATGTACATAATCTATAGATTTCAGGACAAGATTATATATGATCTGCACATTCTAAGTGCTGGATTGTCCATTCATCAATTGATGTATTACCTTATTAATATTTGGATAGTAAATTCTGATTTTTATTCAAATAGTAGTTCATACTAATCTAAACATCTTAGGTTTTCTTATGCTGTTTGTGCAGTTATGTGACCATTTTTGGACTTGAAATACCAACTTTATGAGATAAATGTTTCTTAAAACCCCAAAGTTGAAGATGGTGAATGACAAGTGAGTTTAGGTGTGAATAAATTCAAATACTTCAATTTTTTTAAACTCTAGTTTAGTTTAATAAATCAGGCTTAAATGTGGGTTTTACTTACACAGCTGCATATTTTCCTAAGATACATTTTTTTCAATTCCCACTATTTTATATCCTACTGTTATTGGCTTGTCTTCCAAGCACAAAACTATTTGTTTCTTTCCTGGCTGTTTGAAACTAAAATATCATCTAAGGTAAGATGATTCTGTTTCATTATACATTCTCTTTCCTTTGAATGTTATACTACACCAATATGAATACACGGATGTCAATAAAATTTAAAACTCCTGTCTCAAAAAGAATGCTTCATATGGTGTTGCATCACCACAATCCTTTAATAAAGCACTAATTCAATTTGTCAAGGCTTCCTTTACCAGTTGAAGCTACGATCACAATGTATATGCCTTTTTTGGCCTGTCTCCACACACATAATACACGTGTATGCTTATTTGATGAAAACATGACCTTTCTCACTGTTCCAGCTTTTAGAGTTTACAAAGATTACAATATTTTACCAATGAACATCCATTTTCATTATAATGAATGGCTTGTGCATAATGTGCCACAAATAATTGATAACAGCCTTCTTAGAAACTAGTTAGTGGCACTCAACCCCAAACTTTAACCAAAGTTTTGTTTAATCTATCTCCCTGATTTGCTTCAAAATGGATTTCAATGAGCAATAGTCATGATCACACCTTGTAGTCTTGCTGCTACTTGAAGTTTCATCAACTATAGTTCATGACGACATCACATTAGAGAATGCTGCTTGGGAGACATCAGTAATCTGTTCAGCTTTTAGTAATAAATACACTGAAGATAGTTCTCTATAATCATCTCTCTTTCAAATTCTGTTAAATCTTTCCTGAAAGACACAATGTCTGGAACCAAAGTACATCTTAGAGGGCTTGCCTTCATATACATAAAGCATTTGTAAATTCAAAGTTGCTGGGTTGTCTATTTATTTACAGAAAGGGGTTCATGTGCTTATTAAAACAAGAAAGTCTTTATTTTGTTAGTGTCTTAAGTATAGTGTTTATTTGTTGGATAATAGTGACTATTTAGTACAGCATAAAAATGAAAGGCAACATACACTATTAATATAAAACACCACCCAGATCTTTGATTGGTGGAAAATAAGCATCACTTACTTAACATTGTTGTAGACTATACTTTTAATATTTTAATAAAGACACTTAATATTGTTTACTAGAGGGAGTTCTGATATGACACAGTGATGACACATAGAAGTTTCCTGTGTCTAGAAGTGATGTCTTGAATTTTTGTGGGATTTGGGGAAATAAATATTGTATAAAAACACTAGAGTTAATCAGTCATTTAAAGAGACAGCAAGTTAGTCAGTGAGTGATTAGTTAACTTTAGTTACATTTGTGAGTTAGGCCTAACAATAACACAGTCTGTGTAACTTGTATGTTCCAGTAGAAGAAATTAATTGCTTTCTTTATTGTTAAGTGGATTGAACTATGCATTATTTTTACCAAAAATCTAATCACACTACAACACTGGTGTTAGTAGCAGGATTATCTCGGTAAAAAATAAAATCTAGACTAAGTTTCAAGAAGACGACACATGCCAGAAGTGAGAATGAACCAGTGGAAAGAAGATCAGGAAGAAAGAAACACGATACTAAAACCAAACCTAGAAAATACAAGAACAGAAAACTGGGAAAAGTTGCAGGAAACTAAAGGAAGATCAAGAAGAAGAAAAAAAAAAAAAAAACTAAAGAAGATCAGTAACAAATTTACAGAAAATTAAAAGAAGATGAAGAAGAAAGAGGCAGGAATTAACCCTCTCCACATGGGTCACGGGTCAAAAGCCATGTTATTACATTTGTTGACTCGCATTCAAAATTTTATTCAACTACTATTTTATGAATTTATGTCAATAAGTTTGGTGTCAAATTGTAGATTATAATTAAATTTTAGTATTATACATTATTTAATTTAAAAGTAAATATTAAAAAAAAACACCTAAACATCGATTTTTGTGTGTCACGTGGCATGTTGAATGCAGCACTGGTTCAAATTTGATGTTTGCGATGTCTATAGGTTCTTACGAATTAGAACTAAAATTACTGATATTGATAAGCTAGAATATAAATAAAAACCTTCTATCTTTTCTATTTCCTGAGATACCACTCATGTACTGAATCAAATACAGTGGCCCCACCCACCTCTTTCCATTTTTGGAAACACTTCCTCATATACAATTATTTCTATCTATGACATGTGAATAACCAATAGAAAGCTCAGAATGTCCCTCTAGTGGCTTTCTCAGCTATTTTAAAGTATTATGATGTCAACTCGTTCTTTCAATACATGACTTAAAGTTGGTAAGTTGAGTCTTCAGTCTGCTCAACATTTCATATTTTTTTAGACCCAAATGCAGCTTAGTTACTAAGCTTGATAAATTATAGTGGAGTTCTATGGTATTGATGTTGTAATTTATGATTTTTTAGTTATTT